CAAATTTTTGAAAGCGGTGGGCAGATAAATTCGTATCATTGATTCATCCTTTTTCACAACAAATTTAAAGCGTGTGCGAAATCGGTTTGACTTTTTCTAAGTTAAATTGTCGGTTTTTGTTGTACAAATTTGTTTTTTTACTTCCAGAGCGTAAGCTAAGGAAGTATTGTAATCGAGTTCATTAGACGACTGGCTACTTTTATGTTTTCTCGACGTTTCATAGCCTTTAGACTACGAAAAAATAGGTCTAATGTTTCCATTTGTCTGTCGTCTGTCTGCCATCTGTCGGTGTTAGGAATTTCGTGTAGATTTTGTAGATGGTAAAACACTAACCAAAATTTGGATAATCATCATCCCCATTAACAACGGCATGATACCTATATCTGCAAGATTTAAAATAGTATATATTTTTAAATTATTTATATATAATAATATACTCCTGCACTTGTTGTTTATGCATCCATGTTGAATTTTTACCCCGGACATTCAGTTTAACTTTGAAACTATAAAACCGATAGCTCTGAACCCTTGCAAACGTTCTAAGGTTGTCATAAGCGTGGTAAATCGTTAGTCAAAATTTATCCGTTTATCCCTGCCCGAAAAGTTAATGACGTCATCTCAAGATTGAATGAGGAACTTTATTTTATTGATCGAATCAAAAACGGTTCATCCCATTTTCCCGAATATTTGAGTATACAGTACTGTTATATTCAATATTGCACTGCATTTATTCAAATTGATATATGTATGTTCTTGCAATCACAAAATATTGCTAGGGGAAAATTCAATTGAAATATACGCACAGTATGCTTCTTTATATGTACTTTACCAGTCCACACATCTGACAATGAGGATTGTCATAAAAACAATTGGTTGAAGGTTATTTAGATAGAACTTCCCTCGTCGCTAGTACAATTAATCCAGATTTTTCGAAAAATTATTCGATTTGGTTTTGCAAATTTTATTTTTTTATGTTAACCTTGTAAGTTAAAATAAAGATATGTATCTAATGTTAAAGTGTGCTACACGTTTGTTGCAAGTGAGTTTTTCTATTACAAAATTTTGTGATGACGTCATCAACATTTTTCCAAGGACACGTATATCAGTTTGGATAGATCCAGTGTAATATTAAAAATAATAGTGCTGTATTTCCAAATTTTATTTTGTAATTTTTCGAAAAATCTGTATTTGTTCGCGTGTACTTGAAGTGCGAGGGAAGTTGTCTCCAAATAACTTTAGACCAAATGTTCTTACTTACTTAAAATTGCGGGATCGGTACAAAAGCCTACCTCAAATAAAATTAATTTTTAGCCTTTAAAATTTGTTATTTTTTTATAAGATACAAACTATAACTATAATAATAATTTTTATTTGAGCATTTATTTTTCGAAATTACAACTATATTACTATATATATCGACATTGATTCATTTCAAATATTGGCGACCTATTTTTGAAGTTTCGCGACCCGCTGCTATAACACATCGAGAAAACTTGAAACTTTATAACCAATATTATTGGGGCTATTTTGTGTCAGGTTACAGGGATTAAGAGTTAGATTAGTTCAGTCCTTCAATTTTAGCCATTCGTCAAAAATACCCAATACAGTGTTTTTTAATTGTTTTAATATTTAATTTTTTTTAGAGCGGTGTATGCAAGATGCCCCAAAAACTTAAGAAAATAAAAACTTAAAGAAAATCAGTTTTTGAGATGATTAAAAAAAGAAAGAAATATATTTCGACAGAACTATCCTCGCTTCAACAAATCCCGCTTCTTTGCAAAATTATACAGTTTGATTTTGGGACATTTTATTTGTGATAACTGATAACCTCTATATATAAATAAATAGATAATAGTAGTAACAGTGTAATAAAATACACAGAAATGCCTATGAGGCGAAATCGAACGCGCCATAATTTTCGCATTTGCGTGACCGTTTCTAAGCATTCTAACTTATTAGAGATCGGCACCTGTATACCTGCTGCGCTACGAAGTCATCATGTTTATCGTCGCTTATCAAAGGTCGATATATATTGATGCCTAGGGTAAAAAAAGCGATTTTATAAACCAGAAGTATAATAGTGTGTTATTTTTCAAAATTTAAACATCAGTTAGTAAAAAAATGCCACTTTTTCGACGGACTTTATTACAATACTTCCTTAGCTGTCACTCAGAAAGTAATAAAGAATATGTTAAAAAATAACAGTTCAATAAGCGCGGTGCAATATGAATTTGAAGCTAAATTTACCAAGCAAAATTTTGATATAACGTCAAAAATTTGGTGGGTATCGACAGACAAATTTTAGTTAACAATTTACCTTCTACTCGATAATCTTAAAGCACCTAAAGTTTTACAGCAGTATCTCCACAAAGTTGGGAATTGTCTAATACAATCGCCAACAGACAAACACATGGAAACGGGAGATTTGAAACGTTGATAAAATATGAACTTTGTTAATTTTACAAACTTAAAAGTCTGGTCTGCCGAAATTTTATTAACATAGTCGTAAATGCATTATTAATTATATTAAGTAGTATCAAATATGAAATTTTTTGTTTAAACGTTCGTAGAGTTAAGTTTTTTATTCTAAAATTTACTAATATAAAAAATTAAATTGTTATTTATCAGCATAAAGTAACGTTACGTTTGCTCTAATTTCATCGTTTCCAATTTATCAATGTGTACTGGTTGAAAATTTATTTGTATATCAAGGTCATAAAGAATCACTTTTTCGGCCAATCTAAAGTTTGAGGCCGAGGCCGAAAAAGTTCTCTTTGGTAAAGATACACACAACGTTTTTTCTGTACTATCAAATCTGCAAGGTTTTTCCTCCAACAACGAAAAGCGATTTTCTAACCTCAAAACCTCTTTTAGAAAATTGCTTTTCGTTATTGGAGGAAAAACCTTGCAGATTGGATAAAAATCAAAGTGCCACTTTGCTCCTCTACTAAGAAAAATATTGGTATCGTCATGTTTCATAACGATATTCCGTAAAGGGTGAGTTCAAATAACGGCGCTTTTGACTTTTTCATTAAAAAAAATTGGTCTAAAAAGTTTTGACAGTACTTCCCTCGCTGTTGGAAACATGACGATTGCATGCCTGTTATGTTTTTTGTTTCTCATTACATTTTTGTTGTGGGGTAATTTAAAAAAAAATTGCGATGACGTCATCAACATTTTTGCAAGGACACGTATATCAGTTTGGATAGATGTAGTGTAATACTAAAAATAAAATTACTGCATTCCCAAATTTTCGGGAAAATGAATTGGGTCGTCTTGAATATTGATTTAGAATCAATAAAATAACGAAACAGTTTACTCACTTATGCCGCGTGTATTAGCAGAGGCGACTCAAATTCATTTATGTATAATCTTTCTTAATTTAAGACTACAAGCGGTAACACTTGTTGAGATTGTACACGTGAGAGTCAAACAGAGAAACTTGATTTTTGATGGTGTAATTTACAATTGGTTAATGATAACTTGTCTATACCACATTCACGGTACACGAAACAAATGCATGTCTGTAATGTTAAAGTAAATGTAAATAAGCGTGCTACGCGTATGTTTCAAACGAGTTTTTACTTTACAAAATTTTGTGTCTATCAAATTGGGTTGGTACAATGTAATACTAATAATAACAATATTGTACCTCCAAATTTTCGGGAAAATGGAGTGAACTATTCCTGATTTAATCAATAAAATAAATTGACTCATTCATTAATTTTTTTGAACGACCTGTTAAGCAAATCTAAAAAATATGAATGGAATGATAAATCACAAGTACAGACTCATCATATTTTGTACATTTTAGATAGGACATATTCAGCAAAATTTTGGAGTGGCCTTATCAATTTTTTAGGGGGTATGAGCAAATACATTTTGATTAAAAATTTACCATGCTTATGATAACTATAAAACATCTTCAAGATTTCAAAGCATTCGGTTTTGTAGATCCCAAATTAAATTGCAAAATGTTGTTTCCTAATTTTGATTTTTTTTCCAAAAATCTGGACATTTCGGGTAAAATCTCAATTCGGAGTCATAAACTACATGTGTAGGACTATGTTATTTTATACAATTTAAAACCCATTTACTATGTACAATTTTGAAGTAACGTCATCACATTATTGGTGGGGATGATTAGGCAAATTTTGGTCAGCGTTTTACGATCTACATGATATTCCTAATAAAAATACAAAATTTCACAACAATCGGTCGAGTACTTTCGGAGATTATCTGTCTAATAAAAATCCGGGACAGCAGACAGACGGAAACGGGAGACCTATTTCTTCGTCTTCTAGGGGTCATGCAAGGTCGAGAAAATGTAAAAGTAGAGAGTCGGCCGACGGACTCGATTAGAATACTTCCTTTGCTTACGCTTGGGAAGTAAAAATGTTGGTCAAAAAAACACAAGGACGCAAAAGTAAGTTTTCGACATCCGAGTACAAAATAAGTGACAAGTGAGTCCACAAAACTAATTTTGACATTAGAGTACAAAAAATTGACACTTCATGGACGTGATTGGGGACGTAAAATTATTAGATATGTAATGGTCGCCTAAAAGCTATGAAAGCATTTTAGCTTTATTATGATAAGTGAAAAACAATGATGGACCTCCTTATTTCTAGATGTTTATTTTGTAGTAGTTTTTACCAACAGCTGGATTAACGCAAATAGGGTATAAAGACTAAGGTTAAAGGTAAGTAAGCAGAAACAATTAATCTTTTATCTTTTACTCTTATAAGGGAGTACCTTGTAGTAGTACAACTGAAAATGGCGTGAAACTTCCAAAAGCAAAATTGGTAAAAAAAGAATTGTTTTTGTTTTCCTTCAACATGTATGTCCTGCTGATGATGACCAACCAGTCTGTAGGTCGAAACTATTCCAAATGAACTTTATGGAAATAAGGAGGTCTGACATTATTTCTTCATCTATCACAATATCGCGTTTTTATCTAATCTCCTCGGAATTTAGTCATTAATTCGCGTTGCTTCCAGACTTGACGATCTCGACGGATGCCTCCGTTGGTGGAGCACTACCACTTCCTGACGTCCATGGAACCGCCCCGCAATGGAGACATGGTCAGCTCGGTTCATGTGGGCGAGCGAACGCACCGCAGCGCCAACCCCATCACGCCGACGTTGTGGACGGCTCTCTACGACTACGACGCCCAGGGCGAGGACGAGCTCTCGCTGCGTAAGGGTCAGATTGTGGAGGTGCTGTCCGAGGACGCGAAGATCTCGGGCGACGAGGGCTGGTGGACCGGCAAGATCGGCGACAAGGTCGGCATATTTCCGTCGAACTTCGTCGCGTACGACGACCCGATCAACCACGTCAACTCGATCATAGCGGACATCCATCCGATCGAGATCGACTTCGGCGAGTTGGAGCTCGAGGAGGTGATCGGCGTCGGCGGTTTCGGGAAGGTGTACCGCGGCGTGTGGAAGGAACACGAGGTGGCCGTCAAGGCCGCCCGGCAGGACCCTGACGCTGACGTTTCGGTGACGCTGGAGAACGTCGTCAAGGAAGCGAAACTCTTCTGTCTGCTGCAGCACGTCAACATCGTGTCGTTGGAGGGCGTCTGTTTGCAGGAACCGAATCTGTGTTTAGTGTTAGAATATTGTCGGGGTGGTTCGTTAAATAGAGTGCTGGCGGGGAGGAAGATTAGGCCGGATGTCTTGGTCGATTGGGCTATACAGATCGCAAGGGGGATGGACTATTTGCATTGCGGTGCACCCATTTCACTCATTCATCGGGACCTGAAAAGTTCTAATGGTGAGTTTTTAATAATTGCTGGTTCATCAGTCGAATATTCAGAATTACAGTTAAAGTTTGCGTAAATTTCACGGATCGATTGTCGTAGAATTCCTAAAGTATCTCTCATTTTCGTAAAATTTCCGTTTTGATAAATACGCAGTCAGTAGTGAAATACGACTAATTGTAACGGCATACTGCCACCTGCTGGGTAATCTATCACCCGTATTCTAATCTATAGCAAGAAATAAATGCAAACAAGTTGCAACTTAAGCTGCTTTATTTTCCTTTTAAGTTTAAACAACGCAACCAAAGAAACATTAAGGTGGTGGATATAAATTAACATTAATTTATTAAAGCAATTACAATTTTGTAACGGAATTAAGTGTGCGTATCGTGCGCCTATAAGAAGGTAACATTTTTGCAGAATAAATTTGTAAATATTTTTTTGCACCCCTGAGATAAAAGTTTATTTTTTATTCTCTCTAAACAGCCATTAAATGACCCTTGGGAGAAAAACTTTTCTGACAGCAACCAAAAATGTAACTTTGATGTGACACATGTATGTAAACTTTATCAAGTTATGGGTGAAAATTGGTCACCAACAGCCCCATTTGTGTGACTTTTTCTTAATTAACCGCCTGAGTGTGGTATGTTAAACGTTGATCGCCTTTAGAATATTTTCCGTTGTTTGAATTGTTATTTAGTGAATTCTTCATACACCCACTGTTCCAGACTCTCGTTCACCATGGCGGTTAAGAGCACTAATATCTACAACAAAATCGGATAACAAAGAGGTTGATGATTGTCTAAACGGTAGCCTGTCTGTGCAGTAGGAGTTGAAAAAATGACAATTTGTTAATGGTAACTTTCCAAATATTTTTTTTCAACTGGTGCATTTATCGTTTTTATATAAACGAAGCGCCGGTCATAACCAGTATTCAGCTTGGGCATACGTTTATTGTATACTTTTTGTGTAATTCCGTAAATTGGCGTTACCTTCTTTCGTTACTCATTCTTGTGCAATTTGAATGTCTTCGTTTTCGTGTCCTGTATATTTACAAGTAGTACAATGTATTGAAGGGTACTGTGTACACTACAAAGTTCGTTTCCCCTACATACCTTGGCACAGCCAGAATTCAATATAATGTAGAACTATCGCAAAATGTTAAATGTTAGTTTTGATTTTAAAAAATTTCCCATAAATTGTAAATGATTTTCATATGGAGCATCTTTTAAAAATGTATTAATTTTTTCTTTCGTTATCACTTCGGACTGTTTCTACTTCCCAAACATAATCCAACGAAGTATTGTAATAGGGTCCATCCGACGAATGGCTGCTTTCATGTTTTCATGACGTTTCATGATCCCAAAAGTACGAAAAAGTAGGTCTCGTATTTCCGTCTGCTCTCTCTGTGTGTCGATTTTTATTGAAGAGACAGTCTCCGATTGTTGTCAAATTTGATATGTTAGGAATATCATGTAGATGGTAAAACGGTTACCAAAATTTACCTGATCATCCACACCAACATTGGATGGCGTCATCACCAAAATTTACAATAGTAAATGTTATTTAAATTATAAAGAATAAATTAGTCCTGTATTTGTAGTTCACAAATCAGTGTTGAGTTTTACCGTAGACATCCCGATTTAAAAAAAATTCAAAATTGTATAGCAAAATTTTGGGAATAGAAGACGTTAAGGCAACTAAATATATCTAGAGGGTAGTTGGCCGACGTGTAGACTCCTTATGCTCAACTGTTGTGTCGAAATTCTGAGTGATACCGCCTTAACGTTGCATTCATGCATTTATATATTTTTGAATTACTTAAAAATTAATGAATGAGGCAATATGTTTTATCGATCAAATCAGGAACGGCTGACCCCATTTTGCCGAAAATTTGGGAATACAGTACTGGTATTATTAGTATTAGACTGCACCTATTCAAATTCATATATAGACTACATGGTCCTTGCCAAATTGTTGATGACTGCATCACAGAATTTATTTTAATTCGCAAAATTTAATTTTATAATTTTTCGAAGAAGCTGTATTTATTCGCTTGTACTTCAGAAGCCGGGAAAGTCTTGTCAAAATAACTTTAGACCAATTTTTTTTATCTTGTACTCATCGCTTGAGCGATGTTACCAGTTTTGAAATCTGCTGTCATCAATTTCTTTTCTGTTCATTTAACATTGAATAAAAGACGCAGAGCGACAATGGTGCAAACTTTTCGTGTTTCGTTAAAAAATAATACGCAAAATTTTCAGAAAACGTAATAAGTGACAATAAAAATATCAGAAAGAGGCTTGGCTGTTCTAACGGTCTTGTAATGGGAAATTCGTCGTGTATCATTGAAAAATGTTTCTGAAGCAATCTGGGAGAGCTCATTTTGGAGCTACGATTTAAAATTATTTTCAAAAATTATAAACCATGCTTTCAATTTTATTTTGCGGATTTAGGTTCGTTATTAAAAACGGAGAAAATTATATCAAACAATTTCTATTTATTGTCACTCTGATTTGTTGTTGGCCAGTGTGTAGGCATTTGGATGACTATTTGGCGGGTAATTTTTTCATTCCAAAGTGACGAATAGTGTGAAAAAATTGTTCATACGAAATGTTCATTGTTTTCTTCTATTCATTTTAGTAGATCTTCTAATTCTAAAATCAGGTCAGTCTCAACACTTTTTCAATTTAGAACAGCAATTGAATTTCTTCAATTCCACAACACTATTTTTACAGTGACAGAGAAATGACCATCGTTTGTGACAGATATTCATTCATTTCTTTATACGATTGCTTTTTAGAAAGAAAAAAAAAATATTGAGAGAAAAGTATCATAATTTGTACTCTTAGTTCTTCTAACAAAGTGCAATAAGCAACCAGTTGGAGATTTCGTTATGATATCGCTGGTAAACCGATAAAAACATTGCATTGATAGGTTTGTGACAACGGTTTTACGTAAATTAATTCAATGAATCATGAAGACATTTAAAAAGCACCCGTTTGAGAAGATTGCCAATGGTACTGATTTTTGCCATACGTGTATGCTCAAGCCGTTGCGTACATAGTCAATCATCTGTGACGTAGTCAGAAGTTACCTTGGTAACTTGCCTGGTATAAATATTGCTTTTTGTTAAAAAGTATACAATTTTAAAAGAAAGTAACGAGTGGAGCTTCAATGACAGTAAAATTGTCTGCCATTAACCCTTTCGCTACGAAGCTCGAATTAAAATTTCTTGCCTCTAAAACGAGACACTTTTTTGGTTTTGAAAACGTACGGTCTTCGTTTCGAGGACTCCATTTTTCGTAAACATACGTCCTTCGTACACAGGATACAAAATTAAGATGAATCAAGAGAAATACAACCAAACATGTTTAGTCAACCAAGGTGGCATCACCAGGGCAATAAATGTACTGGATATGTATATTGATGATATCAACTTGTTTTACAAAACGCATAGTCTTGTTGATATATTCAATTTAGTGTTATGGATTTATTTTACTTTAATATTTCAGGTCATCTACGCAGGTTTTAAAGTATAACTACTTGTATACTTTAATTAGAAAGCATTAACGTGCTAAACGAAACTAAAGTTGAGCTCAATATTTGAATTATACCACCTAGACGAAGACCGTAATTTTTCGTACAGAACAGAAAGCAGAACCCTAATTTATGCAGTCAGTTCCATCTGTGTACAACGGATTTAAAGAAAACGTAGAGACCAAATGCGTACGGGCTTCGTCCTAAGTAAGAGATACAAGTGAAAAAATACGGTCTTCGTTCTAAAGCACACAAATTATTAGACCGTATACGTACGGTCTTCGTAGCTAAAGGGTTAAAAAAAAAGTTTTGTTTTTCTGAAAATTGATTATCGCATAATATGTTCAATTTTTTATCGAAAATTGGTCCAAGGTTGCTTCGCCAGAACTTCCGTCGCTCCGGAAGTACAATGTAACATATACAGCATTTTCAAAAAATGATAAAATTTGGTTTTGTGAATTTGATTTTTTTATGGGAATTCCAATAAGTTGAAATAAACATATGTATGTAATGTTAATGTAAATGTATAGGAGCGTGCTACGCGTATGTTTCAAATGAGTTTTTGCTTTACATAATTATGTGATGCGTCATCAACATTTTTGTAAGGACACGTATATCAACTTGGATGGGTGCAGTGTAATACTAATAACAACTATACTCCCACATTTTCGGGAAAATGCAGTGAGCCGTTCCCGATTTAATAAAAAAAAGTAACTCCTACATTCTTTAATTTTTTGAGTCACCCCGTATAAGTAATTCTAAAAAATAATAAACGCATTGGTAAACCACAGGTATAAAGTCAGAATATTTTGCATATTTATGGATTTATTAGGCAACATTTTCGGATGACGTCATCAATTTTTTAGAGGAGATAAACAAATATATATTGATTAAAAATTTATCATGCTTATGATAACTTTAAAATATTTGCAATCTTTCAAAGCGTCGATTTTGCCGCTTCAGAATTAAATTGCAAAATGTTGTTTTATGCTTTTGAGGTTTTTTTTTTTCGAAAATTTGGACGTTTAGAATAAGAACTCAACACGTATAGGATTATGTTATTTTATACAATTTAAAATCCACTATGTACAAGTTTGAGGTGACGTCGTCACATTGTTGGCCCGGGGTGATTAGACAAAGTTTGGTTAACGTTTTACCATTTATATGATATTTATAATACACATATAAAATTTGCAAACAATTGGTCCGTAGTTTCGGAGATTACTTGTTTAACAAAAATCGTCACGGACGGCAGACAGACAAACAGACAGACGGAAACGGGATGCACATTTTTTCGTGCTCCAGGGCTCATTACCCATCGAGAAAATACGAATACAGCGATTACAATATAAAATCTTAGGATATTGTAGATTCATTTGTTTTACAAATATTACAGAAAAATGCGTAGTTATACATACCTTCATATCTAAAGTTGTCAATTATCCGAAAATAATTCTATAAATTTGTAGGGTAA